CACTCAAATGAGAACTATGCCAAAGAATAAAATACTATACACAATTTTTATTTGTAAATTGTACTTCTGTTGAAATTTAAAAAATATATATTACAATACTACTTTTGCGTCCTATGAAAATTTTTGTTGCTCCATTGAGACCAAATTTTTAATCAAGATCCCCCTCCCTCGTCAATGGTGTCCCACTTTACCAAAGTTAAATCTGGTCACCTTCCCTTACCCGGCTCAGCGCCCTCCCTCCCCCTGCGGAGCCCCGTTAACGCAACCCAGCGAGCAGGTGTGGCCGCCACCTTCCTCCTGCCCCGGGCGCCGGGCCTGAGGGGCTGCGGGGACCGCAGAGGCCAGCAGCAGGGCGCGGGGAGCCTGGGCGCTTCGCGTGCGCGGGGCGGGGGGACAGCGCCCCCTGGCCGGGGGCAGGAGGCCGAGGAGCACCGGGGGGAGCCCTGGCGCACCCACCGGCAGGGGAGGTCGCCCCGAGAGGCCGCTCCGCGCACCTGCCATGAGCGGGTCACCGGCATTCGAAGCACCTGCAGCTCCGCCGGGACGCTTTGCGCTCGCGCGTTCTCCAGGCCTCAGGGCTTCCGGAGTCCACGAGCACATCCGGGTTACAGCTCTGAAAGGACCAATGAGCAAAGGCCTCGCGAGCCACGGGGCGGGGCTAAGGCGGGGCAATATGGCCGCCCCCAGCGCGCGGCGTCCCAGGGCCGGTGGGCGGTGCGCGGCCCAGTAGCTGCGCCGCCGCGGACGCGCCCTCTGCCGTCCCCCCGGGCCTCGGCCGGACGCTGGCAGCTCTGTGAGGCGGACGGAGGGAGCCATGGGGACGGTGCACGCCCGGGTAAGAGGCCCCCGGGCTGCGTGACCTCTGGGGGGCCCCGCGGGGAGCGCGCCCGAGGCCGCCGCCGGCCGGGCTCCGCTGCAGCGCCCGCGGCCTTGGGCGGGAGGCCGCCGCCATGCCGCCGGCGGACCCCGCGCACCTCGGGGCGGGAGGCGGATGCGCAGGGGAGGGGCGTGACTCGCCCAAGGTCACTCAGCGGGGCCGCGGCGCGGAAAGGAGCCCCCGGGCCCCGCCTCTCCCGGCGCAGAGCCACTCGCTTCTCTCCCCGCGGCTTCTCTGCCTTCGGCCGCTTCCAGCGTCTCCTCCCCGGTCCCTGTCCAGCCTCCCGGTCCGGAGCTCCGGGAGCACCGAGTGCCCTCTTTCCCCAGCCCGGACCCGCCGGAAGTCCCGCTTTTTACTTCCGCCGTCAGAGACGGAGCCCCTCAGTGCCTCAGACCCCCTTTAAAGAGGGGGCGCCAGAGTGCGTGTCCCCCGGCTGTCGGAGAACCGGGGGCGCAGGCTTGTTCAGTGCCAGCGTGGGCGCGGCACGCCCTGCCTGCGTGCCCAGCTGCTCCCCTGCACCCTCCAGCGCGGACCCAAATACGTGTTCTGTCCACGGCCGTACCGTTTGAGCCCCAGAAAGTTCCAAACAGATCTGTGGGTCCCAGCCCTGAATACGCCTTTCCTGCTCAACTGCGTTCACTTACACCGCAGCTCTTCCCAAAGAAGGGAGCGCGCACTCCCAGCCTGGGTCCGGGCCTCCGGACTGGGGCTTCAGACCGTTAGTTCAAGTGAAACACTCGCTCTTCTCACTCCCTCCGCCACGATTGCCCGCAGCTCCCTCCTCCTCCCGTCGCCCACCCCGCAGCCATCATCAGCTGCCAGGACGTTCCCACCTTTCAGAGCTCAGTTCAGGTCGCTTCCTGCACAGCCTTCTCCTTAGCTCCCCTCACCTGGACGCGCTGCTCACTTCCTGACATTCCCCCTCCGGTGCCCTGCTTAGCTGTGTTTGCATTTTTTTGTCTTATCCTTTTAGAGTGTAAGTTTCTAGATGTTGCAGTAGGAACGGCATTTTACTTGGCTTGCACCCCTTGTAGCATCTTAAAATAAGCATTCATTCACTCATTCATTCATTCATGTGAAATTGGCTAACGGGCTGCCATGTGTCTGGTGCTGCTGTGGGTGCTAGGGGTATAGAATGAAAGTCTATTCTTATTGAGCTCTTTTGGTGTTTGAATTGCTGCTGCTTTTATTAATGTGTTGATAAAAAAAAAAAAGTCTAAATTTAATTTGGCCTTTATTTCACTAGCCAGTGTTATATGAACTTGTTGGTCAAGACTCACAGTAAGGAAACTATGTTTTCTGTCTGATATCCTCAAGCGTGTGTGAAACAGGTTATGTGAAACACTACTTATCACTAATATCTGTTAATTTAAAAATGTCTTATATGTTTTTATTGATTTCAGAGAGAGCACTGGAAAGGGAGAGAGATGAAAACATCAATGATGAGGGAGAGTCACTGATCTGCTGCCGCCTGCACGCCCCCTACTGGAGATCGAGCCCACAATTCCCGCACATGCCCTGACCTGCAATGGAACTGACCTCCTGGTTCATAGGTTGACGCTCAACCACTGAGCCACACCAGCTGGGCATTTAAAAGATATTTTCTATTCGATTCTAGTCTATATCACTTTAAAGATGTTTTTCATAACCCAGGAAATTTATTCTATGCCCGACCCCTTCAGTTGGCGCTACAGTGCCCAGCGCAATAAAACTTGACTGACTGATCAGCTTAACGATTAGAAGCTCGATCCAGACATTTATTTTACTCCATTTCACCAGATACCTAGCACCATGCCTATTCTTCCAGACACTGGAGTATAAATTCCGAGGGTGAGGATCTCATAAGTGCTGGCCACAGAGTAGGTTCTTATTTGGTGAATGAGTAAATGTCTTGGTAAGACAGTTAATTTAGGACATCAGTCTTTGACGTAACTAAAATCTTGAAGACATCATCTCTGAAAGTCTGTTTCAGATTAGAGAATACAAATGCGTCTGGCCGGTCTTAGTGAAGCTTGTTTCATGCTATGAGGTGTTAGGGACACGGTAGGATTTTTAAAGACATAACGGAATATAAACTTGTGCCTGGAAGGAGCATATTTTGCTTAGCAATCAGGCTAAGTAGGATGAGTTGTGCATATATTCATAACCACAGTATTCACTCTGCATACATGATTTGCACTGTGTAAACTTAAATAAAGATAACACATTTATGAAGTGGCACAGGAAAAAGTTACTAATTTATTAATATACTTGAGAAATAATGATTCTGTTTTTAAAATGTTACATTACAAAAGTGGTGTAGGCGCTTTGAGGACCGTGCAGTTGGGCTGGCGTGAGACAGAGGACGTGGTCTGTCAGGCCAGTACCTTCCCAGAGAACCAGTGACGTTACAGAGGATGCACTGGCCAGAGGCTGTGGAGTGTCCAGGGCAAAGGTGGCCCAGGGCACTGGTGCTGCCTGCTGCAGGTCAGGCCTCCTGCCACTGAACGGGCTTCTTTGTAGAGAATTAGTGGAGTAAGGACGCAGCCAGGTAACTGGTTAGCATGGTTTCCCCCAAACTTGCCTGTTGTAGTTACCTGGCGCCAAGCTAGACCTGCTGAATCCATCCCGGGAGTGTCTGCGATCCTGTGGTTAAGCAAGCTCACACTGTGTAGTACGCATGTTATTGTGCACACTGTTACTATGTCTCCCGGAAGTGTGACAGCACGGCCTGTGGGATCCTTATTCTCGGGCGCTGTGACGCTCTCAAGGTGATGTCTGTTGGCGTTGGAGAAGGTGACCTCTCCGGCCAGTGTATGGTCGTGCAGTTTTCTGTGTGTGAGTGAGACTGGCTGGACCCAAACAGCTCTCCCAGGTCCAGAAAAATATGTTCTAATAATTTGGGTTGTCAGTCTCATTAGTTGTCATAGAATAGCCAATTTTGATTTTAACAATTAGCATAATTTCTCTAACAACAGGAAAGCAATTTTTTTCTTTTCCCTGATAAATGTCTTTGTGGCATCTGATGTTTAAATCATTGTTGTCTTCCAAAGGGCTCAGATGTTCAGCTACCTGGCTGTAATCCTCAGCTCATGCCCCAGCCATCACCGGTTAATGCCTGACCCTTTCCGTTAATTGAAAATCATGTTTGCTTTATTTATTGATAGCCCACTGGACACCGAGGCTCTCGAGACCAGTAAGAGGCTTGCACAGCAGCTGCAGCCTGTGCCCTGTGCCCTGTGCCCTGTGGCCCCGTCCTGCCCCAGCCCCCTTACTGCGGGAGCCACAGACTCGGGGCACCATCTACAGACAGAACTGAGATGTTGGCTTTTAAAAGTTAAGGTTCATTTATCTGTGGTCCTTCCTCCCTTGCAGAGCCTGGAGCCTCTCCCGCCCAGCGGGACTGACTTCGGAGGGTTAGGAGAAGAAGCTCAGTTTGTTGAAGTCGAGCCTGAAGCGAAGCAGGAAGTCCTGGAAAACAAAGACGTGAGTTTCTGTGGACGGGCTGGTGCAGACTGGGAGACAGTCACTCCTGCAAGCCTCTTGGGAGAGGACTGACCTGTCGCTGTGACGTCATTGAAGCAGCCTTTGTAGCCGCCTATAGAGAGACTGCTGGCT